CCTGTAGCGTCGCATCTCGTGCCGTAAGCACATCCCAATTTCGCTCGTAACTGTACAATATTGATGGGTCTGTTTGTAACCAGTTTTTTTTGTTCCGTACTCCCCTGTTCGAATATGGCGAGGTCGGATCCCCTGTATGCATACCATCCCATGCTCTCGTCCACAGTTGCTATCACCTGCATGTCGGCTGCAAACTGCTGTGCCCACGGGGTGGAGGAGGGCCCCACGAATCCCTGCCCCTCTAGTCGCCGTATGTCCTGAGCCGCATCTAGTCTGGATGTTCCGAACACCGCTGCGATGACTGCTCCGTGCTCCCAAGGGTGGCTTGACCAGTTCTGGTACCATCGTAGGCGTCGCACAAACAAAGATACGGATGTGCGCTCAAGTCTCCAGTATCTGAACACCTGTCGCAAATTGTTGCACCTCACTGTCCCATCTGTTCTGGTCCACGACATTGCTCCTCCCGCTAGCGTCCGTAGGTACTTGCCTAGTACGCTGTCGATTGCTGTTGTGTGGGTATCTGTCAGAACTAGCGCAGGCAATCCGCTAAGGGCCGCACCTACCACGAAGGCCATGAACATCATGCGTTTTATTGGTCGGGGTACCTTAGAGGTCCAGAAGATCCCGCACTGTCGCCATGCAACGCGGATGGCTGCGATGCGCCGCACGACCTCGCCAGCGATGCCCTGGCCAGCTGGTAGGTAGGGGCCAAGTACACGCATCTCCCTTAGCGCCTGACCTTGCAGTGTTTTGCTGCGTCTGAGTTGTCTGGTTTTCCCGTAGCAGCCTTGCCCTACTAGGTATAGTAGGTGGTTGGTCTTGGCATTGTTAAGTCCCCATCCTCCTGCTGCAATTGTTTGGGAAAGGCGTTCTGTGTTGCTGTTGAGTTGTTGTTCGATATCTCCAGCCGTCGCTGCGGGTAAGATTGTCTGCACATAAGTGATGTCGTCCATGAACGTGTTGAGAGCTAAGTCGTGAGTGTTGCCTGCGACTGGGTTGGTCGTGTCGTGGATAATCTGGTCTGGGTCCGTGCGGCCTTGTTTCCACCATTTTGTGACGTACAGGTTGTATGCGTCGTTGAATTGCCTTGGGCAGAGGGTGAAGCCCATTTGGGCGCCTGTGGTGCTCTCAGCTTCGACTGTGCCGTCGGCAGCTTCGAGCGTCAGGGTAGAGTGGTCAATTGCTGCCATGGCGAAGCGCTGGTCGTGCTCGTGTGCTTGCCTGAAGGCAACTGCTCTGAGTAAAGCTCGGTTGGTGGCTGCAAACGCGTTGGTGCCGTCGTAGTTGGTTGTGATTGTGCTCACCCCCCCTTGGGCAGCCCTCCATTGGGCCGCTTGTACGCAGAGGATGGCGTTTTCCCGACAGCGGTGTGGGAGGCCTCCTTGGGCCCAGGGCGCCTGCGTTGTGGGTGAACCACGTAAGTGGATGCCTGAGTGCCAAGCCATTCCAAAGGAATCGTAGACGTGTAGTATACGCTTCCCTAGTATCCCTTCTTTGTTGTTGTGTTTCTCTGCTGGGAATGCTTGTGATCGGTGCCAGTCCAACGGGGTGACCTGACAACTTCGGCATTGTGCAAGGAATTGGTCTAGGTACTTCATGTACCCTTTGCTGTGGTCCGCAATCGTGTCTGCACCTAGTCCTGCGTACCTGCCCCTCCCCACTGCATAAGATTGCTGCTCCCAGGCGGCTCCTTCTGTCCCATCAGTCGCCGTCGGCACACGTCCCAACCTGGTGCCTTCCGTCCACCCCATCCGTCGAAGCAGCTCCCTCCCCTTCTTGCATCGTCCCAGTGTCGTGTAGTAAGCAAGCTCATCTTCGCCCCCCCTCTTCTCTGCAGCTGCTACTCGCTTTTCTTCTAGTCGTCTGCTGAGCTCTGCTGGGTCCTGAAGATGGAGGGTGGGATCGATCATCAACCATGTCATTTCGATCGGAATGCCCCATGGTGGCCAGGCCCGTCGTTTACTGGCTCGCTGGCAATACCTACGCATCGCTCGCTTGTCGGCCTCGACCTGAAAAAGAAGATCGTGGTCGGTCGGCAATCGGTCGATGTGCTCCTGGACGAAAGCCTCGCGTTCTGCTCTCTCTGCCTTTCTGTCGATAGGCCTTGTTCCTAGTCCCCCTTCCAAAGCTGGATGGGCGAGCTCCTGATACCAGTAGTCGCAAGGCCAGTGGGTTCGAGCTGATCGGTAGTACCTTTTCTTTGGCCCGCGTCCGTTCCTCTGGTACTGGATGCGTAGTCGGTGCATCTCGGCGAGGTTCCGTTTTTCGTAGGCCTCCCATATGCGTTCGACCAGGAGCGCCCGTCTTTGTTTCTCTACACCTTCTCGGGCCTGCTTCAGCGCCGCCGTGACTTCTTTCAGCTCGTTTTGTACCCAGTCGTAGTCGTCGGCACACTGTTCTGGTGTTAGGCTCTGTCGCAGTGTTCGTCGCTTCCTGAGGAGCTCGAGTCGGTATTGCTTGGCTCGCTTCGTAAGCTGGTCGATCTCGTCGGGTGTGCCACTTTTTCCGAAAGTCGTGAGCATGGCCGATCGTGCTGCTCCTCCCAAAAGGTCCCAGGTCTCGTCTGGCGTCGCCGCTCCCAGTGCTCTCTCCCGCTGCTCCCCACCCACCTCCTCCACCTCCTTGTCGAGTTCGGTGAGCAGCATCTCCCTCTTGTGGCCGCTGCGCAGACACTCCATGAGTCCGCCCCTGCACAGCCCCTGTTGTAGGCGGGCGCACGTGGGGAAGGAGGTGTTGGAAGTAGAGGCGAGGAGGGTGAGGCCGATGGGGAGGTGGTCCCTGTGCCCTCGTACTTTTACCTTTTGGAGCCTTTTGCCTGACCGATGGAGGACCTCACACCTTTTTACGAGTCCCAGGGCCCCTGTAGGTACTACAATGTGGTCGATACGACTGTTGTAACCTGAATGTCCGTAGAATGTATGTTCGGCGATGTGGTAAGTGGTGACTATACTGAGGTCGCTGGTCTGACACAGGGTCCTAAGGCTCGTGCCGTTGGAGTTCTCTATTTTGGGTTCCCTGTCTCCTACCGTCGGTCCTCTGCTCCGCACAATAGTCCCGTCGGTGTCTCGCTGGCAACCAAAGTCGCTGTTCACATCCCCGCCCATCACTATCGTCGTACGGCTGCCTACTCGATCGACACACTGCTCCAACCATTTGGTTATCGCTTCTGCTAATGGCACGTAGTACGTATGGTGTGTTGGGGCGTAGTAGTAGACAAAAAAGCATAGTCGTGTTGGCCAGTCGAGAGGCGAATTCCTGCAACCCGTCCCTGGAGGCTGGTTGGTGGGGTGTAGGTCTCTCGTAAGCTGCGCTCGTCAATTCTCTGACTGATGAGGATCGTTAAGCCACAGCTTTTGTTGATCCACTTCCCCTTGCGAGCACCAAATTGTAACACGTAGTGGTTAGGGAGGTAGTGTCTCTGTACTGCTTCTGCTCCCGCCCATCTGCATGTGCCGCTGAGGAGAATGACGTCCCAACTGTGTAGTTCCGCGCTGATGTCCTCAAGTCGTTCTATGCTCGCTGCCTCTTGTGGGTTGTAGTAGCAGATTCTCATGCCTAGGCGCACGGGCTCGCGGGGGGACGCGGGCCGCGCGCCCCGCGGCTCCGCGCCTCCGGCCCTCCACCCCCTTCGGCCCCCTTCGGCCCCCTTCGACGCCCTGCGACCCCCTTCCTAATTACCTCTTTTGCCCTCTTCGAACTTCCATCCGCCTGCGCCCCCCCCCCCCCCCCCTTCTCCAAGGAGGAGCCAAGGGGGGGTCTCCCGTGGCCACCGCGGGCCGCGGCCGCGTACGGGGTCCGAGATCCAGAGCCCCTCGTGAGCACAGAGCGGCCCTTGTTTCAGCGTCTTGGCTGCACGAGGGATCGGGCTGGCTCGGGGGGGGTGCGCATGGAGGGGGGCATCCTGAATGCCATCCATCGCCCCAGCTCCTCCTCCTCCTCCCCTCTCTCCTCCTCTCCTCCTCCTCCTCCCTCCTCCTCCTCCTCCTCCTCCCTCCTCTCCTCGTCCTCGTCCCTCCTCCTCTCCCCCCTCCTCCTCTCCTCCTCCAACGTCTCCTCCTCGTCCTCCTCCTCTAACGTCTCCTCCCCGTCCTCCTCCTCCTCCTCCTCCTCCTTCTCCTCCTCCTCCTCACCTCCCCGTGTCGGTTGTTGCTGGGAGTGCCCCTGGCCCAAGGTGCCCCCAGGACTTCCAAGGAGGCCCCCACGGTCTCCAGAGCACCCTTCGCGAGGCCCAGAGGGCCCCAGGAACTCCAAGATCGAGCACCTGGGCCAGTCGAAGAAGAAGCCAGGACGAGGGTAAATTCGGGTGTGGACGAATCGAAAATCTCGGAGATCTGGCGGCTCTGGAAGATGCCTCGGGCGCAGCGGCCTTCTCAGGGTGTTCCGGAACGCTCTAAGAGCGTTCCGAAACGCTCTGGAACGGATTGATCCTCGTCAAACAGCCAGCCCGTATCAGAAGGACGCACGGGAAGGATGCAAGGGCCTTGGACGGCCATTTCGAAGCCTTTCGAGTGGGGCGCGGCCGGCGACGTGGCCAAGGATGGACCAATGAGGCAAGGATGCAAGGGCAACCCATGTCGGGCGTTGGCAGAACTGGGTTTCGTGGGACCTGGTTTAGTGATGTGCACTGGGCAACGTCCCTCCCGCCCCGTTCCACCAACCGGAGCTGCCGTCACCCGAAAAACACCAGCCACAGCAGACCTGGTTTAGTGACTCTGGCCAATGTAGGGGCTCCAGGGCCCTACTTCTAACCGGGTCCCCCTACCTGGGGTCCTGGCTATACCCGACCATGGGAAGGTTGCCCACCCTTACTATGTGGGTTGACTGTAGTTACCAGCCTCGAACGTATCCCTATCCCTAAGATTGACACGCCAAAAGGCGATGACAATCTTAGGGATTCGCCCTCAGAAAATAAGGGAATCCCCAAGATTGGCATCGTGAGGAGGAGGTGCCCAGCATAGGGATAGGGATATGCTTCAGGCTGGCGATGTAGCCAGGAGCACCACGACGCCACAAAGTCTGGGCAGTACGGCGCGTCGCCGTCCCTCGACGCCAGCGCCGCCCACGAGGCGGAGGGGCTCTCGCCGAGCCGCCACGCGGCGAGCTCCCGCCAGTAGTAGATGAAGAAGCGGCCGGACTCGGACTGGTAGATCGGGCGCTCGCCTACGGAGGGAGAGGGCACAGCATCGACAACGAGGTTCGGGGGTCCTCGCGGATCTCTGGGGCCGGCGCCGACCCCCAACTCCACGGCGCGCGCTGAGCGCGCCAGGGGCAGCACCGGAGGCGTTGCAGGGGGGTTCCAGCCAGCCAGCGCATGTCCAAGAGATCCGCGCTGACCTCCGAAATGCATGCCATGAATACAGCAGCTTCGCGTCGTGGCTACCCTGGCTTTGATTTGTGAGAACGCGTGATCGTTCACCCTTGAACGGGCGGCGGCGCTTCGGTCGCACGCTCGTTCCCTCTTGGCCATTCTGGGCGTGCAACCATGACCGCCCGCGGCGGGGTCGCTGCCGCGTCGGTACGACACGAAACTACCGTAATTGATGGGCCCATTTTCCACCACCACCACCACTACACTAGGTAGGACGGGGAAGACGGGAGTATGGGGAGGTCCTCCTTCTCTTTCTCATTTTCCTCCTACTCCACCTCCGCCTCCTCCTCCCACTCCTCCTCCTCCTCCTCCTCATCCTCCTCCTCCTCCTCCTCCTCCTCCTCATCATCATCATCATCATCATCATCATCATCATCCTCATCCTCATCCTCATCCTCATCCTCATCCTCATCCTCATCCTCATCGCCACCATCATCATCATCATCATCATCATCATCATCATCATCATCATCATCATCATCATGAGCATCAGCATCAGCATCAGCATCATCAGCATCATCCTCCTCCTCATCATCATCGTCATCATCATCACCACCACCACCACCACCACCGTCATCATCATCATCATCATCATCATCATCATCAGCATCATCACCATCAGCATCATCAGCATCATCATCATCAGCATTAGCATCATCATCATCCTCATCCTCATCCTCATCCTCATCCTCATCCTCATCCTCATCGCCATCATCATCATCATCATCATCATCATCAACATCATCATCATCAGCAGCAGCAGCAGCATCAGCATCAGCATCAGCATCAGCATCAGCATCATCATCAGCATCATCCTCCTCCTCATCATCATCGTCATCATCACCACCACCACAACCACCACCACCATCATCATCATCAGCATCAGCACCATCAGCATCACAAGCATCATCATCATCAGTATTATCATCATCATCATCACCATCAGAATCATCATCATCATCATCATCATCATCATCATCATCATCATCATCATCATCATCATTATCATCATCAGCAGCAGCATCAGCATCAGCATCATCATCATCAGCAGCAGCATCATCATCCCTCTCCTACCTATGGTAGTGGTTGTGGAAGGTCGGCCCATCGGTAAGCAACTGTCTCTCCCTCAATCGCCGCGGGCGAGGGCGGTCTTGATGTACAGGCCCGCCTGCTCGGCATCAGGCAGCTCGCCGCCCGAGAGCCACAGCTCTGCCCCGCAGTCCAGGCGGTGGCACACCGGGGCAGAGGAGGCGGCCGGCATGGAATCGCCATTGCTGTTGAACCCGACCTCGCTGCCAACCAAAGCCATTTCCCAACCCCTGTGTTTTTACTTCCTCCTGTTCCTCCGTCGCCTCCCCATGCTCCCCCTCCGTCCCCCCCTGCCCCCTCGCCCTCCTTTTCCCTCTGTTCCCCCGCCCTCCGTCCGTCCTCCGTCCTCCGCCGCCCTCCGTCCGCCGTCCTCCTCCTCCTCCGCCTCCTCCTCGCCCTCCTCCCCTCATCCCCCTTTCCCCCTTTCCCCCTTTCCCATTGTCCTCCCGTTTCGTTTTCTCCTGCTCCTCCAACTTCTCTTCTTCCTCTTCCTCATGTTCCTGTCGTGCTCCTCCTCCTGTTCCTCCTCTTCCTTTTCGTCCTCCTCGTCCTCCTTTGTTTCCTGCATGCTGACCGAGCCGTCGAGATGCTGAAAGCAGCCGCTCGGACTGAACGTCCAATGTGCAGCACCTGCCCAGACAGACGGCATCGCAGCATGGCACGCCTGCCCCGAGCTCACGAACTCCTCGCAGATCTCGTACGACGCGACCTTGGGGGATGACTGGCGACACGAGGAGAAGGAGGGACAGGGGAAATGGAGGGGGAAGGTGGACAAACCAGAACCATTGATTCAAGAGGTGGATGGCAAACAAATGCGTACTTGTACCTGAACGCCGGGCGAATTCCACGGATTCGAACACGCCTAACACGGGCACGGCGCCCACGCGCCCATGGCGCCCATGGCGCCCCAGGCGCCAGGCGCCCCGGGGAACTTCCTTGACCCGGGCGCCCATGGAAGCACCGCGGCAGGCCAGGCCGGGGTGGAACGGCAGGACCACCGCTCGAGTCTGGCGTCGGGAGTGGACAGGCCCCCTTTTTAGCAACACGTGGTTTCATGAAAACGACCTCGGGCCCAGACCTGGCGGGCGCAAGCCCTGAATATGACGGTCGCGGTGCCCTCTCGGGAACCGAAAACGGACAATTCACGAATCGGCGTGTCATGTTGGGTATCTGTCCGCCCCCGGATGTTGTTCAAACGAGTCCGTCGTGCATCGTCGGTCCCGTGCAAATGCAGCACGGGAACACACGCAGCAGGACAACTTGTTTCGGCAGGGGGCTCTACTGATCATACCCTACCAGCACTACAGATGCGAAGGCGGCTATACGAACCTCCCTTCCATAGCCAGCTGCCTGGCAGTTAACGATAGGTGGAGCTTGGATGCTGCTCCACTGACGCAGCCGGCGGGAGCAACGCTCACGTGCATGCTCGCCTTCTGTATCGTCGCTGGCTGAGGTGGCCCGCGGAACTTCGAGATCTAGTGGCTTAGTCACCCTAGTCGCCCTTATCCTTGCGGGTGGCACTGCTTCGCTGGGAGCTCGGGCGGTATTCCTGTTCCCCTCGTCTCTCAGCCTGATGACGCTGCGATTGTAGCTGATCAGACCGTCCATGACGTTGATGATGGGCTCCCGGCCGATGCTGCCCTCGGTCATGGCGTCGGCGTCCACGCCCCGAACGTCGCGCCAAAACATGTTTTCAATATGCTTGGCTCGCAGATGGCCAGATAACGACCATATGTGACGAGCCATGCTACTCCCCGAAGATTCCCGTACTGGGGCCATGGCCAAGGCACTGGATATGGAAATGCCGTCTACGACTGCCCCTACAGGCGCTGCGCATCCGTCTTCCCCCCTTCGCCCCCTGATCTCTTTAGCTGAGGCGGAGTCGCACGTCATCTCGCGCATCGCGTGGAGGCGCGCCTGCAGGCCGCGCGCTATGCCGCTGCGCCAGCTTGCACGAACGGCTCACGGTGTCTAGCACGCGGCGCGCCCGCTTGGCATTGCGGCGGCACTTGCCGAGACAGGCTCCTTTCATGCCAGATCCTGTATCCTCCTCGTTCTTGAACGCCCCGTCGCTGCGCGATGCGCGCCTTCATCTGCTGCGTGGACAAGGCGGCTGAGAAGCGCTGCGTCACGGGATGGATGAATGACGAGCAGGTTTTCGATTCTCTGCAAGGCCGCGGCGCGCGCTGCGACTCTCTGAAGGGCGTAAGCCGCTGCTGCCACGAGGAAAACAAAGAGGTTGGGAAGCCGTCCCCTGGCTGGCCCGTCAGCTCGACGTGCATGATCGGTGTCAGGGCGTCGATGTACCCGCCCTGGTCGAATGTGTTACGGCGCCGTCGGCGACGCGGCACCGCCGTGCTCCTCTATTGGTGAATCGTCATAACTAGCACCATCCGGTATGCCGAAGACGCCCTCGACGTGGCCGATCAGCCAGTTGACGCGCTCTTGCGCCCAGCGATCTCCAGGTCACCTGCGCGCCTGGACGACGCGGCCATAGCTCCGCGGAGCCTTCGGCGACGCAGGCGCCGAGAGACCCCTCGGAAGCGGCGAGCCAGAGGGGGGCAAGCGGGGGATTGGCCGCACTTCATCCCCGACTTGCCCACGCACCAGACGTCGCACACTTGACCGCAGGCTCGAGGCCCCATCTGGCGGGCATGGCGTTTCGTTCTCGTCAGCGCGCGACCTGGGCGAGCATCGTGGAGGAAGCTCGCGCATCCTTGCAGCCCGTGTCCAGATCGGCGCAGCGCGAGCACCTCGAAAGCCCCATAGCCGGGGACCTGCACGCGGATGGCTGCGCGGCCGGGCGGCAGGGCCCGAGGAAACCTTTAAGGACCCCCCCCCCGGGGGTTATCGTTAGCACCGCGGCAGGGCTAAATATTTCCAGGGGGCCGTTTTCGCTGATCGATATCTCTCACCTTGCACGCGCCAGAACGAAAATTCCGCGGCGCGTCGCGCGCCGCGCGAGCAGAAATCCTCGGCGATGCCTTTGGATATGCTGCGCAGTTCATAGGACATGTTACGGACCAGAAAAAAATGCCTAAGGGCTTCCAAGGACCCGCGAATCCTGGGAGATGCTAAGCACCCCTCGCATTTCCTGACATGCGAAGGACATGCTCAGGATGTCCTGGAGACTGCTATGAATTTCCGATAACATGTCAAGGATTTCCTGCGACTGCGGAATGTCAGGCTCAGCTTGGCCCCGAGTGCTCTCTGCGGGCTTCTCCGATGCCGAGGCAACGCTTCCAGGGTGCCGGATGCGCCATGCTTTACTTTCATCGGACGGGGGGGGGGCGGGGGGGGGGGGCGGTTCCTAAATGCTTCCTACATTCACCCTGGGCGGCGCTTCGCACTGCGCCTGCATCGCTGCGCAAGTCATGCCCTGCACGAGCGCCTCCTCGACGCCCGCGGCGACGCGCGCACGGTCTAGGAGACGCGTCGCCTCTAGGGGCAGCGTGCGCCGATGATGCCGCGTCGCTGCCCTGGCGAAATGTTCCAGGGCCGCGGCGACCGCGGCGCGGAAGCCCCTCAGCGCCGCGCGGCGCCCGCTGGCCATGCAAATTTCGCTGTTTATACTTCGAGACGCGCCTGGAGTCAACGCCGTTTCGGGCGCCCAGGGGTCGCCTCTCGCAGCGCTTGCATTTGGATCAGATGGTGAGTTCCTCGAAAACGGCCGCTGCGACCTCCTGTATCAGTCTCGACGCTTCCTCGTCGGTCACTAGGTCGGCGCCGAGCTCAACCGCCGCGGTCTCTACGCCAGCGTAGGTGCGAAGCGCGGCTGTCCGTGAAGAGCCAGCAACTTAGTTGCGAGGCGCTTCCTCGGAAAAGCTCAAGGATGCTCGGCGCGCCCTCGAATCAATCTACATCTCCACGCGCCCTCGCCTGTCGCCCCCCTCGCCCCCCCTCTGCGCGGCGCAACCGACCGCGGAGGTCGCGCGCAGGCAAAGGCGGCGCCGCGCGTGGATGCGCCGACGCGGGCGCTGCGCCTCGAGGCGCTGGGGCCACTCGCGGGGCCCGCGGCCAAGACTGGCCGCGGCGCGCTCGAATGCCGCGGCGATCCAATGCCGACTGCCGGCGCCGCCCGGCTCCTCCAACTCATGGGCCAGGTCTTCTGCCCCCTCGACTTCGCGCCAAACTGTCGGCATCGCCCGTTGGACGTGGCCGGAGAAGACGCTGTCGGTCATCTCGGGCATAACCGACAGGGCTGGCGAGAACCCCCCCCGATCGCGCTAGGCGCCCTCGGGGACATCGACGACGCAATCGTCGAACGACCCGTTGGGCCCCTGCCCGGCGCCCGCTGTCAACGACGGCTCGTCGCCCAAGATGCGGGATGATGCGAGCTTCCTTCCGCAGCGCACCCCCGGACTGATGGGCGTCGAACCTGACTCCGCCGAGGTGAATCTGCTGCCTATCACCCGATGCGGAGGGATCCACCAAATCACCAGGCTGCGGGCGCAGCCCGGCCAATGGGCCGTGCAGTTCTGGCATCGCATCAGACGCGCGGCAGGCGCGTCGGGCAGCTGGAAGCATCCGTAGGACAGAGGGCGCAGAACTTCGAGGATGTTGGCACGTCGCCGCGTCGACGCGGCGATGCCCCACGTCGCCCCAGCGGCCGAATGTCCTGGACCTGGGGCCTGGCGCGACGTGCTCCAAGAAACCCTGCGCGCGGTCCCAGGTCAGACCTGAACGCGCTAAGCCGGCGCCCGCGTCGTCGAGGTACCGATGAAAGACCGGGCGTCGCGCTCTCAGTAGATTGCGCCGGCTCGGCGGCACTGGCCAGCCATCTTGCCTCGAGCCTGGTCGACAGACATGAACGCTCCAGGGCCCGCCCAGCCCGACGCCCCCCCCGCGCTTGGGGGGCGGTGGATCTCCGCGTGCTCGCCATCGTCAGGGCGGCCTTCTCCGGGCTCGGCGGCGCGGGCCCAGAGGGCGCGGCTGACGCGGCAGATGGGCGCGGCCTCAATCGCGCGTTCGAGCGCGATCTCTAAGATTCGCCACAGCGGTCCGCTGGGCTGCCCTTCCGCGACAGCAGAAGGGCAGGCACCGGCGCCGCGGGCATCGGCACCTCGCCCTCTTCGCTGACTTCGAGCGGCGGCAGCGTGGAGGGCTGCCTTCCGAAGACGACACTGCATGGCGCGACGCCGCCAACGCGGGTGGGGCACTTGCCAGCAGAGATGGCATTAGCCAGCATCGAGTCGGAGTTTGCTGCGGTACCTTCGCAATCTAGCCGTTCTTATGCGGCGCGATGCGGGCGTCGTAGTGTGGCGCCACGTCGCTCTATGAAACGTGGGTGTTGTCGCGAAGCTCAAATATGCCAATCAGCTCCTCAATTCTGCAAAACCCTCACAAAAACGCCGAGGTCACGCCGCCTTCGCCGCCCACGGAAAATGCCCCCTATCGCGTCGAACAATTGGATCCAGCACTGGTGGATGGCAGCAAGCAGGGTCGAGCCGCGATTGAAGGCGATCTCCCGGCCGTTCGCGGTGGAAATCAAATGCATGGTCACGCGGTCCCTGTCATATGGCGCGGCGCGCGACGTGCTGGCCGCGTGCATCTGAAGGCAGAGCGCAGGGGTGGTCTGGGGCGCCGGCGGGGTCCACTTGCGGCAACCTCTACAGTTGTTGACCACGGTGGAGGCGAGGTCGATGAAAT